TGCTGTGAAAAATTGGTGACTATGTAGATATAAAAGAATCAAATGTGACCTTTAATTGCCAGAGCACCAGAGTTTCAGTTTGTTAAAGACATACTCATCAGAAACCAGTATGAAAAAACTTAAGAGAAATTATTAGTCAGACAAATTTCTGGTATCTGATAATACAGGCAGGAATCAAGGCGCTCAGATATTTTTGAAGTTGTGAAAAAAGCTCCTTTATTCTAAAATTCTGAAAATGCAATACTATAAAGAAGAAATACCTAAAATTAAGGAAAAGGAATGGGCTTATGACCTTATCCTGTGAGGTAGCTGTTGTAGTTACCTCTATACAGATGATTTATTATTTTGTGAATAAATTTTTCATTCAGTGAATGCTGTATCTTTTCCTATACCTTGCCGTTTCTCTATAACTTTCCAGATAACAATGGAGGTGTGGCAAATAAATTCATTTAAGGCCTTGGTAAACATGACGTGACCCTTTTGAGAATCTCTTAATTGATATATCATTTTACTGTGGTGGTTTTATTCTATTGGGAAAGTAAAATTACAAGAGCAGCAGTAAAATATCTACTCTAAAAAATTAGAAAACAAATCGGGAGAAGTATATAACTTACTGTAACATACTAGCACTTCACTATACTTCTATGTAAATAGCTCAGTCAAGTCAGTGAGTGGGAAATAATCTAGTTGGCATTGGGACAAAGAACATAAGAACACTAACCCAAAAAAGAAATACAAATGGCAAACAAATATTGCCAGTTTTTTTCTAATTATTTGTCAAGAAAGTACAAATATAACATCTACATGATTGAAATACCAAGCAAGTATCGTAGAAGCATAAAAATATTGTTTTGGATATCTTTTATACTAAGTTTGGTTCAGTTTGTTCATCACACATGTAACTCCAATAAGTTGGCTTTACTATCTGGATAGTAAAATGGTCTTATGAATATTCATAAACCATGACCTAATTAAGAGTCTTCGACCAACCCCCCAAAATTCTGTGATTCTATCCTTAAAATTGATATGTATGGGCCCTCCCTGGTGGTGCAGCGGGTTAAAGCGCTGCACTAAGAAACTAAAGCCACTTCCGCATGAGTTTGATTCCCGCCTGCCCCGGAGGCAACCACATGGCGTGGCAGACCTCTCCTGACCCGCCCGCTGCTCCCCTCAGCAGTGTACTTCGTCGATCTGCCTGTTCGGCTTCCCGCTTTGTCTCTGGTGAATCCTCTCACCCTCCGCATCTCTGGCCTGTACCCCAGTTCTGTATGAATAAATAAATAAATCTTTAAAAAAATTGATATGTATAAGGTCACAGACTTCTTTGTGATACTGCATTATAAATAGAAATTGAGAATAGCAAGCGAATAATTATTTACATGTTGTTGTATACATATACTTCACCCTTGAAAATTCACAAAAAATGTTGAATGGCAACTAAAATTTGGGAGGTATAATGTTAACCAATATCGGGTAGATTTTTAAATTGTGTGTGTGATTAGGAACCATCACCAATTACTGTGAGTAGCTGCTTTTCAAAGCATGTTTATATTTCCCATATTTGCCAAATTTATACATTGAAATTGTGTACTTAGTAAGGAGGGAAAATGGCTGAAAACACACAAGAAGTGCCAGAACCATTAAACCTCTTTACTATCGTAAACAGTTTGTTAGTATCAATGCATCTAAATTCATGGACCTACTCCAACTTTTAAACTACTTTTCTTTTGTTTCTATATTCATGACACTCATGATTAAGATGAAAAAAGGAGATTTATGTTCAATTCCATTCTAGAGTTTTGTGATGATGATCAATGTTAATAATGGCAAATAAAATTAGACATTCTATTTGACGTTTGAATGCATTTAAGACTCAATCTAATTATTTGTTGGGTCGATTTTGTTACTATTCTTTGTATAGGCCCTGTCTGTACAAACAAAATAGAGCAAAATGAAATAATTATTTTTTTAGATTTATTTATTCATATGGAACTGGGGTACAGGCCAGAGATGTGGAGGGTGACAGGATTCACCAGAGACAGAGAAGGGAGCAGAACAGGCAGATCGATGAAGTACACTGCTGAGGGGAGCAGCGGGCGGGTCAGGAGAGGTCTGCCACACCATGTGGATCACCTCCGGGGCAGGCGGGGATCGAACTCATGCTGAAGTGGCTTTAGCTTCTCAGTGCTGTGCTTTAACCCGCTGTGCCACCAGGGAGGGCCCAAAAATGAAATAATTTTGTCTATAGAACAAAATAAAAAAAATGGATCGGAAAATCTTGTTTAAAATGTCTCTAACAGAGTTTTCTTTTAGTAGTAAAGATGAGTTATGGTTGATTGAACTGTGGAGATGTAATAGATTACTATCTACCACTTGTACACCAAAATAGTCAATATTCTTAATATATCATCTACATAATAGTGAATGCTTTATACCAAATTTATTGTCCCATACTTCATTTAATTTTATTAACCCATGAAGTAGATTAGTTATTACTACATGGAGAATATACAATAAGATTTTCAATAGGCAGTTACTTATTCAAGATTACATGACATTTAAAAGTTCTAGCTGTGAGGTCTAAATATTACATATATTAAATTATATCCAAATCATACATTTAATTATATGGTTCTTTTTCAAAAACAATTGTTCATTATAACCAGTTGACACTACAGGCAGTTTACATTAGAAATTTTGTTTTTTACACAGCCACACTTGAAATTCATATTCCAGTCAAGTCCAGGCAACAAAAATTCCTGAGAATGTTTTCATACTCTTCTATATTTGTATTAAATTTCTATTCTATACAGGATGGAGGTATTTGTATGTGTATCAAAAATATATGAATGCTTGAGAAATACAGGGCAAATCAGTGAATGGTGATTAAGTTTGTGGAGCGCACATCTTACAATCTAAGCCTGAAAAAAGGATTGCATGCATGTTTGTTACCTCCTTTTATCACTTACTGGTAACAGAACAAGATACATGGTCTGAGCACTCTTGGGATGGTAATTAGATCTATGGTTGAAAGAGGAGAGAAGACCTGAGGGAAATGTCTGATTATGGCATCATGTTAGGAAATAATGTAAATCTATAGGGCCACATCCCTTTGTCATGTCTTGACTTTAGAAGTACTTATTGTACCTGATGATTACCAATACAGGGGGAAATTCTGATCCTCCAGAATTCCTCATTCTTTAAATGACCATTAAAATTAAAATACTATGTAGAGATAGTCTAGTTGAAAGCATAGAAATTTTAGATGTAAGTTAAATTCATTTTGCTTTGCTGTATTTTTAGAATGCAAAGAAAGGCACACTTTGTAGTCTTTAAGTTGCATTGATAAATTTTGAAATATGATTTCTGCTACTGGATACATCATGAATTTTTAATGTCTCATTTAAGAAGTGTGAGCTAGGGTGTGAAGTATTAGGTTCTTTTCTCTTAGATTTTTTTTTTAAAGATTTATTTATTCATACAGAACTGGGGTACAGACCAGAGATGCGGAGGGTGAGAGGATTCACCAGGAACAGAGTGGGGAGCAGAACAGGCAGATCAACGAAGTATACTACTGAGGGGAGCAGCGGGCAGGCCAGGAGAGGTCTGCCATGCAATGTGGATCTCCTCCGGGGTAGTCGGGGATCAAACTCATGAGGATTTGGCTTAAGCTTCTTAGTGGAGTGCTTTAACCCGCTGCGCCACCAGGGAGGGCCTCTCTTAGATTTTAAAGTGGGAAAGAAAAAAATAAAACGTGATTATTTCAGATAAATTAAGTGACCTTTTATGCAACAGTCTACTAACAACACCTACTAAAAATGTTTACAGATGTCCATGGTTAAGCATTTGAATTTTGCTAGCATAAAAATTAAGCAAAGTTTCAATACTGTAATTGCAGAATTGTTCATAAAGACAGCAAGAGATTCAACAAGGATTGATGCATTATTATCTAAAGGGCACTGTTAACTTATCTACTCCTCCGTGGAAATATTACTGCAATTTAGAAAGAATGTTAGGGTGAATTTTGTTCACATGACCAGTAAAGTTAAGACGTATTTGGGCCCTCCCTGTTGTTACCTCCTTTTATCACTTACTGGTAACAGAACAAGATACATGGTCTGAGCACTCTTGGGATGGTAATTAGATCTGTGGTTGAAAGAGGAGAGAAGACCTGAGGGAAATGTCTGATTATGGCATCATGTTACAGTAAGGAAACCTTTGACAAACATATCAAAAACCTGATGAAATTTTTGATTAATTTGTATGAATTGTATGCCAAATAGCAGTCAGGTTATGTCATACATAAACCCAAAACAGAGCAAGGCTTACCTATATACAAATGGAAGTACTTGTTGGCTTTTGTTCTACCAGACAAGATGAAAGACCTTACGCAGTATAGGAATTCCCAGTTTTAGCAGAAGTACAGAGTTTTCTAGATTAAGTTTCTCAAGAAGGACATTTAAGGTATTGAGGTTTTCTTTTCTGGGGAAACCATGTGAGCGCAAATCTGTGTAGTTTAAATACAAATAACTTTAAAAACTGTCCCTCTCTTCCTGATATAATTGATTACTAGAAAAGCAAATTGTGTACTCTCTGCATATTTTATATGGAACAAAGTAATATTTAAGTTATAGAATGTACTGTAAATCAAAAACCTAGGAAGATTCTGTGAGATAGGTAAGCTGAGCAATGTGTTTTCTGATTTCCTCATAATACACAGCTTCTAGTAGAATGTCTGCATTTTGCTGTTTTTCTAAACCATGTTTTTGCTGTTCATTTTTCCTGGTCCCTTCTGCAATATGTAAGAGAAACTTACTCATTTTTGACATAGTACTGCCTTGAAGGGGCGATGTGAGCTCTTTCTGTGTATATTTTAATCAGGGTAAACTGTATTTTAGCAGGTGTTCTATAACATACCTTCTCAAAAGCGAAGGCCTTCCCTAAGAACTGAAAGGACAGACCTGATATAACAAATAAACAACATCTTCTCTTTATTCTAGTGCACTGATAGGCAGAATTCTCCAGTCACATCTCCAGGATCCTCTCCCCTTGCACAAAGAAGAAAGCCTCATCCAGATCCTCTCCAGATCCCACATCTCAGCCTGCCGCCGGTGCCTCCTCGCCTGGACCTCATCCAGAAAGGCATAGTTCGGTCCCCCTGTGGCAGCCCAACTGGATCACCAAAGGTGATTTCATTAGAAACACAGATAAGTTTTCTGTAATACTTATCGATTACTCCAATTCTTTTAGATCCCCATACTTCTTGTGTTCTTAATTCCTTATGAACAACTTTGATGGTTTTGTCACTTATGTTTAAGCATTAGCATATTCTTTACTTTATTACTATAAAAGTTAGATAATTACAAAGAGAGTACATGTCTGTAATAGCTGCCTGTTGCTGAAGCAAATAGCAAGGTGGTGCAATTACTCAGTAAAATGGATTTAAAAGGTCATTATAAGTATTAAAATAAATGGCATGCTTTTATGAAATGATGTTTTATACTCATTTTCATAGTGTCGTGACAAGAAAAATGTGGAGTATATTTGCATAAGAAGTTAGGGGTGATAAATTGTCACCATGCTTCAAGTTGACTCAGCAGAGGGAATTATATGTACTTTTACTATCTGAAGGAATTAATTAGAAAGAATTACAATATTTGCAAAGTAACTACATCCCTGTTTAATATTAAACATGTAATTATAACTTTTTAAATCTAAGTCAATAGTTTCACTTCTGTGAGGATTTTTTTCAAAATTTTAGTTCTGTGTTTAAGTTTTCAAATTTGAGAAGGGTATATTTTTCTCTATTAGATATTAAATTTTAATAATTCTGTTTGGTAATATGTTCTATTGTCCAAAATTAGTTGGAAACATGGTATTTCATTCTTTTTCATCACAATTAACTTGGTTCTAAGTTCATATTACAACTTTTTAGTTTGTTATTTATTCAGAATTATATAAACACACAGTATATTCCATTTTTTTCAATGTTTTCTAACAAAGCACAAACCATTGATTAGATTAACATATAAATATTTCCTTGTCAAATCAGACTTCTTTTTTCCATTTTAAGGATCCAAACATTTTAATAAATAGTGACTTTTCACTGTCCAGGTAGTAACTGTTAAAAGTGCAAAGAAGAACCAGAGTAAATTTGCTGCTTATCAGTTGCTCTTTCATGGCAGAGATAAACACAAAATAACAAACCAAGGCTTTGTCTTCCAGGGATGTTAAAAATCAAGTTGCTCTTTAAAACAAAAGAGCTTTGATGGGTTTTGCTGTATCTCCTAACTCAGAGAAGTATGCAAATGAATGTATTATTTGATATTATTTTAATGTCAGTTATCCAAAATCAGCATGTAATTTTGATATTCTGTTACGTTTTGCTGGGTAGTCTTTATAACCTTGATATTCCAGTGTATGCAATCAATTGCTACAATTTTCTAATAAAATATATTTGAATGAGTCATTTTTAATTTCACATGTTGGTGATAACAGGAAATTTAGTAAAGGGTACAACATGCCAATTTGTAAAACTCCATTTTGACCTAGCAATAATCTACTAGTCTGGAAGTCATTTCAGTGCCTGGTATAGCTTATCATTTCTTTTTTCACTCTGTGTCTCTTTAGTCTTCTCCTTGCATGGTGAGAAAACAAGATAAACCACTCCCACCGCCTCCCTTACGAGATCCTCCTCCCCCTCCACCTGAAAGACCACCTCCCATACCACCTGACAATAGACTGAGTCGTCACTTCCATCCTGTGGAAAGTGTGCCTTCCAGAGACCAGCCAATGCCTCTTGAAGCCTGGTGCCCTCGGGATGTGTTTGGGACTAGCCCCTCAGTGGGGTGTAGACTCCTAGGGGAAGGCTCTCCAAAACCTGGACTCACAGCAAGTTCAAATGTAAATGGGAGACATAGTAGAATGAGCTCTGACCCAGTGCTTACGAGGAAACACAGATGCCATGACTTGCCTTTAGAAGGAGCCAAGGTAAGAAATTCACAAAGCAGGCACAAAACAATCTGCCTGTAAACTCTTCTGTTAATAGGAAGCATAAAAAGTTGGGCAGCTTTTTTTGGGGGGGGGTTGGGTGGTGGGGTGCTAGTGTGGCACTTCCTATAAGTCTTTAATTATCTCCATGTTATAAGTAATCAGAAGCTCATTAAAAGTTAAACTTAAAAGAAGTCAGGAAGAAAGTTCTAAGTAATGATTTAACTTCAATGTGAAGACACTAGACAGCTTGCCAGAGATTTATTTCACCTTCCCTTGTTTCATCTGCCAGAAGTTCTTCTTATTAATAACTTGGTGGCAGAATCAGCTTTTTTTTTTTTAATCTCTCCTAGTTCTATCCAATTTGGAAAAAAGTTGTGCAACTACAGCATATCATCAATCAGTCATTGGCATAGTTGCTTAGGAAATTACACTTTAGGCAACCAGGTGAAATAGATTTCTACTTGCCTAAAACACCCAGGTGAAATGGATTTCTCACTTGCCTAAAACACCCAAGCCCAGTTCACTTTTAGAAAATAAACTTTTCCTACATAAAACATGCAGAGTCTCACACATGTTGAATTCGAACGTGAAGGCTATCATCATCATCATCGTCATCATTTACATGTCCAGGAAAGAATCCCAGCACTCAAGAACCAAAGAGGTAGCAGTAAGGTCCTTGTGCTTAGAAGTCTTGGTGGGTCCCTGGCAGTTGCTGCTTTCCTGGGATTTGCTTTCATGGTGCTTTTGACTCAGATCAAATCACTGCTGTCTTCCCTCAACTAAAGGAGGCTTTGCCTCTCTTGAAGACTTTAATATTTAAAGTGATCCCATCTACATTGATCTGAAATTATTCCACGCAAGTAATCCTTTCCAGCAAAATAATAATGGCTTGTTCTTGGTGAGTTCATCCTACACTATATATAAGAAAGAAGAGTAAAGTGTGGCATGCTCATCTGTGTGTCTGGGGGGGGTGTGGATGTATATGTGTACAGTGACAGTGAGAATGAAAACTTTAGGTTTTGATATTCAACCTCCTTGTTACTTTAGGGTAACTGGGGTAGAAGTTGTTGAAATACTGGCATGGAATTCCACACAAAGGGGACAGATGACGGCGCTTTGCGGTGACTGTGCTTCTGGCTCACCTGGCTGTGTCTGTGTCTCATCCATCGTAAATAAGAAGTTTTTGTTCTAAAGTCCCTCCAGGGTGACCTAAATATGATGTTAAAACTTACCAAGCAGTTTTACAACTGAAAATGAAGATCTTTTCTTCCACAATAGAAGGTTTCCCAACTTAGAAATGAGATCAGAGGAAACTACCATTTTTCTTTAGTGTTTTATTTTTTTCTTCTTTTAGCATTTATTTTCACTCCTACAAGATCACACTCTGTGCATAGGATGTGGGAAAGAGCTCTGCTGGGAAATGACCATTCACATATCAGCAGTATGTTGTAGTTTATTTCCTGAATGGACTTCAGGAATACTTAAAATACAATAATTATATTAGAAAAATCACTGAAGGCTTATTAGGTCAGGATTCTTTTACACAATATTTTATATACTTTTAGCTGTCATAAGAACTGTGCTTCTTAGTCTTAGCATACTCTTAATTGCTATATGGAAAGTCAGTTTCAAAATTAGAGGTTAGGTCGCAGGAATGAAATTTTATTAACTATAAGCATGAAATATTAATAGTTGCTTCAGTAAAAGATTGTTATGTTTTGCAGGTGAGCCTTCATGTCCTGATCACTGATACATATACATATCCTAGTAAACACTGAATATATTTCAAGTATATTTCTTACTAAAAGTAGGATTTTAATCTATCTTAGCTTTTGGTAAATAACCGTCATTAAATTATTTAAGATTTAATATGATGTTATATATATTAATACTGTATAATTATATTCTCAAAGATAATTTTATGTTGTAACAAGCTAACATTTCAGCCAAAATTAACCTTTTTAAAGATTCCTAATTTCAACTAATCAGACTTTTAAGGCAGATTATCAAGAGGATTTATTTCGTTTTCTTGTTAAGTGCTATATAACAGATTACATCTGCACTTTAATTAACTTTATGAAGGAAAAATGACCCCACTTCCTTTTAATTTACATAAAATAAAATATAATTCCTCTTTTCAGTTCACTGTTCTAGATATTTAAAGGGCTGGCTTCAAGTGATAAGACTAAGTCTACGTAGGATCTTGTAGTTCTAGTTCTGTGATCATGTCTTAGGGTTTGTTTCTTAGTTTATACTTCTTAGTTCCTCAGTCCATATTGATTATAGCTAGCACTTCCTGTATGCAAGAACCTTCTGGTGTTGGAGATAAACTGAATCCCAATATTCTCTCCCCTTTCAAACTTGACATAATGCTTTAAGATAATTAGTTCAACTTCAGGAAGAATCAAAAATGATAAAGTGAACCTGATGGCTACATTTTAACAAAAGTAAAAATCAACCAGGTTCTAGAATCAGACCTGGACTTTAATTCCTGCTGTCAAATCCACTGACTTGTTGCAATCAAACAACTTAACTGTATCTTCTCCAACCAGCTCTATTAATTATCCTTACTTTATGAAGTAGAAAAATAATGATACCTAGTACCTAGGAAAATTGTTAACCTCAAAATAGCTAGTCCCCATTCCCCTCAGTTCTAGAACTAAACCAAAAATAACATCTAGATATGGAGTACATAATAAATTACAACAGTGGACATCTTCATTAAAAACAGTTGTATTTTACTTCTGAAAAAACAATCTTCCTTTACCCTTTTCCTTCTGTTTTATTTAGCATGGTTCCATAAATGCTTGGTAAGCAATCCACAGTTTGGGTGCAATTATTACAATTCATACACAGTCAACAAAGGCATAAGTGCATGTATGGCTGTGCTGGCTGGACAGGTAGAGAGGTCAGCGGAAGAGAGGGTGTCCATGATACATGACCAGTACAGCTTTAAATGTATTGTCCCAACACTGGCTTTTAGTCAGAAGCAGAAATTACCTTTTTGTGTGTAAGATTTTTTTCTATTTAAAAGAAGTGTTTTCATTGGTAGATCAGATACCATAAGAGGACTTCATCAAGGAGAGTGGATGAAGACGAAATGAATGATTTTGATTTTTAAAAGGTTCATATTTTTCATGAAAATAGTCATTTTTACATTAGATGTCACTTTCCATAGCTACTATGTAGTTTTATTTTTACCTGAGAAAAAAATGCTGTGGGGAATTAGATAACTGGAGACTGATCAATTAATTTCACATAACCCATCAGTCTCCAAATGCAGGTGAAATACACTTGTTTCGAATTGTAACAACTATCATATATACTTGTTTTCATTAGTAGTCATGTTTCAAATGAAATATTACCTTCCCTTTTTTTTTTTTTAAAGATTTATTTATTTATTCATAGAGAACTGGGGTACAGGCCAGAGATGCGGAGGGTGAGAGGATTCACCAGAGACAGAGCAGGGAGCAGAACAGGCAGATCGACGAAGTATACTGCTGAGGGGAGCAGCGGGCGGGTCAGGAGAGGTCTGCCACGCCATGTGGACTCCTCCGGGGCAGGCGGGACTCGAACTTATGCGGAAGTGGCTTAAGTTTCTCAGTGCTGTGCTTTAACCCGCTGCGCCACCAGGGAGGGCCTACCTTCCCATTTTAAAGATAAAAAAGTTTGGATAATACTGAAAGTTCAGATTAAAATTAGAGGTATATGTGGGCTACCATACAGGGAATTTATAAAGCTAAACACTGCATAAGTAGAATGAAAATTCATCTTCCTTCATTTTTGTCCTTTGTCTGTGTGCCAGTTCCCATCATCCGTTAGACCCATTTGCCCTTTTAATATTTGCATCTTCAAAAGATAAATGGTGAGAGAAGCAAGAATAAATTAAACTCTAATTACTACATTTGCTAATTGTAGAGCGCTTTATGGGGGGAAAAAAAGCCATCTAATTCATAGTTAACATGAAGTGTAAAAATTTTCTGTGACTTTCATTTACTCCCTTTTTTCTTCTCCCTCCATCTAGCAGAATCAAATTAGCTAAGGTTATCTTTACTTTTGACATGAATCTGCTAGGTAGGAGTTAGGTTTTCTTACCTTTTTTTTTACTGGTAAGACATTTCTGTGTCACTGTTTCCATTCCCAGGTTCTAGCCGTAAACCCGTTCCTTATGCAAACTGTGTTGGCTAAATATTTTGTTGATGGCTTATTTTAGTTATCTGACGTAAGAATAGTTCTGATAAAATGTTTAAGAGGTCACTGCAAACTTGAAATTCATCTGCTTATATCTAGATGTTAGAGATGCTAACATTGTGCTTAACTATCTTTATTCGTTACTCGAGAGATTAAGAATACTGCTGTTTCTTATGTGATAAAAACTATCTCTGACTTGCATGTTACTTAAAGTGACATTGTTTTAAAATGAACTTATGTACAATAATCTGTTGGAGATGTTGCCAGATAAATATATCGATTTTTTTTTTTTTTTTTTTTTTTTTTTTGAGATTGTGGCTTGTGGCTGTTTGGGTGGAGAGGCACATGCTTATATGTATGACTTTAAGCTTATCTATGAATCTAAGGCTGAGGGTTGCCTTTAAGAAAAATAAGTCCTATGTGTATGCTGGTTTCACTTTCAATCGGGAGTACTGAAGAACAAATTAGAGCTATATTTTGAGGGTAGTAGATGTGTGAGTTCACATGTTTGAATGTTTGTACGAATAAGGGTTTTCTTAATTGTGCTAAGATAATCACAAAAGTGCCTTTAACCCAAATTTTTGGACAATATCTGAATCATAAGAGAATATCAGATTTCAAGACTAGGACTAAATGGTGCCTTAAGGCATGTATAAGATATTAATGTAGTATAACCTAGATTTATAATTATGTGACAAGTCAAATAATACTCCTCCCACATGTCTTAAGTTTCCCTAATATATATATTTTCGAAAGATTGATTTATTTGTGCATACAGAACTGGAGTATAGGCTAGAGGTTCAGGGACAGTGAAAGGATTCACCAGAGACAGAGTGAGGAGCAGAACAGGCAGATAATCGAAGTACACTGCTGAAAGGAGCAGCGGGCGGGCCAGGAGAGGTCTGCCATGCCATGTGGGTCACCTCCGGGGTGTGCGGGGATCAAACTCATGCAGAAGTGGCTTTAGCCTTTTAGTGCTGTGCTTTAACCCACTGCACCACCAGGGAGGGCCTTTCCCTAATATATTCTTATCCCTTCAACTTTTTCTGCTTTCTGTGTACTTAGGCTGTTCTAAATACTGTGAACATCCACAGCAAATAAAACACAGCCCAGTGAGAATGAGACCGTGACATGATTACAAGTAAAACATAGAGTAAGCATTCAGAGAATACACTGTGGGATCTTGAAGAAGAAGGAAAGATTCCAACTGAGATGCAGGATAAAAGAAGGAATAAAGAAAGCTGTATACATAAGTGTCACTGGCAATATAGACACTGAAGTGTAGTTCGGTGCTGTATAGACAACAGAGGACTGTCAGGGGTGTGGGAAGGAAGTGTTATGACAAGAAGTCAGTTTAGGATCCAGGGTAGGCCACGTAGAGTAGGTCAAACTGGCAATGTGGACTGAAGCCAGTGTGGCGTCTTGGATATTAGCCTATATCTTCAATTCAATACGAATGAGCTCTTAAATTTTGAGGGATAGAGAAATGATAGCTTTGGATTATTTAAGGTGGTAGCATTTCCAGTGGAATTATGGTATATTTGGGGGAAAGTGTGGAAAAAGGAGGGCAAGAAAATGTTTAATTTAAAGGCAGCCAGACTCCATGAGACTCAGTAATACTTTCAGTCTACATACTTTAACTACTGTTTTCTCCTAGTTGCAAGCAGCCATTTTAATTGCTATAAAACATTAAATATGTATTGTTGGCTCTAATGATTGTAACTTTTCACACACTCATAGACAGTGACAGCAAAAACAATTTTAAGTAATGAAATGGGTGCAGGTGGGAACATGGAATTTTAAATGAAATATGTTATCTCTTTACATTAAATATTATATGATATAAACAGACACTTTAGATAAACAGAAAATGCAATTGCACATACGTATTATCATAGTCTACCAGTTAGCATAGAATTATAGAGAATCATTTGGTATTGGGCATATTGTTAACTTGCAGTCCATATTTAGAACAGCATACAAGACTAGTCATTAAACAAATTACAGATGCTTGCTGAGAGAATTTTCATAAACTAATGAATTTCTTTCAAAGGAAAGTCATTTTGTTAGATAAGGATCCATTATTAAGATCACCTAGGCCATCAGGAGTCAGTATTCGCTTTACCTCTACTGTGTTTAAAGGAGATACGCTATGAAATATTTTTTTTTTTAAATAGAGCATTTTTATCCTGAAAAAAATGCTCTCAAATTCTCTTCCACAGAACATAACCACCCATAAGCAAATTATCAATACCAAGCACCAAATTAATGATTCAGAAGAGACATTGTGGCATAAACTAAAGAGACTTTACTTAGTATATGTTGATAGAGTGTCTCTAAAGTGGCTAGAAAAAGTACCATTTACATTTTAAAGCATATTAATAAATTGTTTCACAAAACTAGGACCAAGTCACTTAACTCTTTTAGCTTATTGCTCTCCTAGAGAATAAACTACATTACTCATTTTACTTTGAGTTTTTATCCAGGGATAGATATCACTGCCTACATTGCATGCCCTGTTGAAATATTCTTGTTGCACATGAATATTGTGCCAAAACATTTACCTGCAGGTTGCAGCTAAAATGATTTTAATACATTCTCTCATTTACCTACTGTGCAACCCTTATATTAATCAATGTTAAATATATTGCTTTTTTCAGATATGCTCACAATATTCTATTTAAATTATGATTGGTTATTAAATTAAACCAATACAACACAAATGGTTACGTCCCTACCTCCCTTGTATTTAAAAATTGCTGAAAGTTTATTAGATATAAACGTTACTTCTAAAAAAATTGTTGCATATAAAAATCTACATTTTGGGCCCTCCCTGGTGGCGCAGCGGGTTAAAGCACTGCACTAAGAAGCTAAAGTCACTTCCTCATGAGTTCAATTTCCACCTGTCCCCAGAGGTGACCACATGGCTTGGCAGACCTCTCCTGACCCGCCCGCTGCTCCCCTCAGCAGTGTACTTCATCTATCTGCCTGTTCTGTTCCCCGCTCTGTGTGTGTGGTGAATCCTTTCACCATCCCTGTGTGTGTGGTGAATCCTGTACCTCCGACCTGTACCCATTTCTGTATCTATAAATAAATAAATCTTTAAAAAAAGAAATCTATATTTTACAGAATGAATTTTTATTGTGACAGAAATATCAAGAAAAATGGCAAAAATGGATACAATGTGTCTATTTCAGCAATGTGCAAAGAATGACTAAGATGCTCATTATCAAAATGATAATTTGCTCCTTAAAAGGAAATGTTTAATGTTATATGATTTCATTGAACCATACAATGATTAATATCTAAGGCGAAATTCTTCTTTCTAGCCAAGAACAAAAACTCTGCCTTGTTCTGATATCTGGTTCATAGTCAGAAGCCTGTGAGAAAATCATTTCATTTTAGAGATGTGATTTGTTATAGTATATTGAATCTAATGAGGGGAGACATGAAAAAGAGAAATTGGAATTATAGCATAGAACCTAGTTTTAAGAATGAAACCAGTGGTATAGTACTGTGATTGTGTAGCTTTCAATTGCAAACAGATATTTCAAATGCATTCTTTAAACGTTTTCCTTTTCTTAAGTTGATAGAGAAGGCTATATATATATCCTTTTCAATTTCTCATCCTAAAGCTTAGGCACCATTTTAGAATTTGTGGAGATGAAAAGGAAAGAAATCAGTGGGTCAGTGTTTGGATTATATAGGACTATTCACATGTTACATCCTATTTGTCCGATCAGCTTATCTTTTAAATAAGAATAAATGAAAAGAAAGAAACCCATGGATAAAACTAATGATTAAAGATCTGAAGATAATTTTAATCTTGCAGATAGAATTTTGCAACATTATTCTCTTTTGTTTCTTTAAGTTGTTGATTAACAAAGAGCAGTTCAGGCAGGTCTTATGGTCAAACTGAGCAACTGAAAAGCAGAATTTCTGATTTCAGAGTAACTGAACGGTGACAGCCATTCCTTATGAACAAACTTATAGTTTTGTTTTGTGTACTTCATACACTGAAAACTGTCTGCATTGTGAAAGCCAAGTCAAGTATTGCTGAAGCTACAACCTTGAAAGAAGGCATTTCTGATTAAACTCATGTTTTATTGAGTAGTTCTAAAATGTTATATTTACCCCAGAAAAATATCATATAGGACACTTTTATGTGTGAGGGATTGAAATAAGAATTGCACAAATATGGTTGCTCTTCTTACTGGTATCCTTACACACAGTGCCTAACTTCAATAGAAAACAATCCTTTGGGGGAAATTGTACTATCTAAATATATCAGATAAGTAATCATAGTATTCCTCTTAATATATTTGTGAATCATGTTGTATTTTGTTTATATAGTTGGGTACTACTTTGGGTGGTGGTGAATAATGGCCTCAACGATAATGTTAAAGATTCCTGAATTAAATACATTTCACTTGCTTACACAAACATAAATTCTATTTTCTCTTTAAAACTATAGATTTTATGAGTTGCCACTGCTTTAAATTCTTTTAAAAAATATTTATTTATGCATACAGAACTGGGGTACAGGCTAGAGGTGCAGGGGCAGTGAGAAGATTCACCAGAGACAGAGTGGGGAGCAGAACAGGCAGAATGATGGACAGCAAGCAAGACAGGAGGTCTGCTGCATCGTGTTGTATCACCTCCGGGGCTGGGGATTGAAGTGGCTATGGCCAGCTTGCAGTGCTGTGCTTGTCACCACTGCACCACCAGGGAGGGCCAGTCACTGCTTTAAATTCTCAACTAACCCCCAGAAGTTAAATTCCAAAATAACTCTTGGATTTCCTTTCAGGTCTTCTCCAATGGTCACCTGGGAAGTGAAGAATATGATGTTCCTCCCCGACTGTCTCCCCCTCCTCCAGCCGCTACCCTTCTCCCTAGCATCAAGTGAGTTGCATTGAATGTGGAGATCATTTGTCTATAGGTAAAGATAGAGTAGAAGTGATACAGTACAGGGTGAAGAGAAATGTATCAAGTAAGTGTGAGTCAGGCAGATTCATAAAATAACCAGGTGTAACGTTTTTCCCGATTCTTTGCTGGTCACCGCAACAGATCTTTGATTTCTCCAATTTCCTTATTTCTCAAATCCATTCACCACTGAATCCTGTAAGTTCTTTGCAAGTTGTTTATACTCCACTAATATTACCCTTTGACCTAGCTTCACCTCATCTATGAACAACTGAAAGAGCCTAGATCTGATTTTATGATAGAATCTCAGAAATAACCTTCAATGGGATTTAAGCCAGAATCACATAGTCACCCAGAGATTGCCTTGAAAAATAGGGACAAAGGTGCCACTTTGAACAGTTATTTAACATCTACCAAGTCAAACAGGTACCAAACCAAACTCTTAAATCACATTTTTCCCACTCTCTGTTCTAAGTATGCTGTCTACTTTCCTCCAGTATATTTTGTTCACACAGCTGGATTAATTTAATTTTTGTTTATACCCAAATCACTTTTTTACTTAAAAACCCAGCATTGTGTTTCTTCTTAATTAATCCTGTGCTCTTCTGTTAGCCATAGGATAGATTTTTACCCAGTTCAGTTGTTCAATAATTCCAAATGCATACTCTATAGATTTATCTTAATTTTACTCTAGGATTGTGAGTGTTTCAGGCTATTCTCTCCTATTCAACACCTATTCAAAATACTCTAAATATTTTCTGTATGGTAACTTTTGTGACTTCTCCAGTCACAGTGACAGTAGTAAAACTAATTCCCATTCGTTTTCCTGTAGTTTATTTCTACATATTTCATTATGTGTGTTGCTGTGCTCTTTCCTAATTGTAAAGAGCTTCTCCACATTAAAAAGATTATAGGGTTTTAGGGTAAAATCTTGTCTTACATTCTCTGATTTTCTCCTATCAACCTTTCTGTTTTTTACTTTATAGTGAATACACTGAGAATACCTGGTTAGTTAATTGCCTTTAATTTTAGATACTCAGATCCTTGTTTCTGATTAAAGATGTTGCTTTTTTTTTTAATAGTTTATTTTTGTGCACATCATTTTGCGCATTTTTCCATCTCAGTTGTAATCCCTGTGGGCTTCCCATCACCAAATCACCCATGTGCTGTCAGCATAGTCCATGCATTCCCCTCCCACCACTGCTGCTTTTTTAGTTTTAGGGCTTCTTCATTCCTTCTTTCACTGGTGAACTCAGAATATACATATGTACACCAAATAGGGATAAGCTAGATCCCATCTCCCCAGCTATTGACAACATACTTCAGAAAATAGCACACGTTGAATCACTAGAGAATATGACCAAAGTGTACAATTCTAACTTGGGGAGAGTGTTTCAGACTTTGTTAAGTCAAGGACATTTCATAGAAAGAATGGAAATTTCTGGAGTCCTGACTATGGGATCAGTGGAAAAAGGGAATATTTGAGGAAAAACAAGAGTGTGCAGTTTGACATCATTCACTCTATAGTGGGAAATTAAGCTAATATGACCATTCCACAGTGGGAAATATATTTGAAACTGGTAGGAACATAATAGACATTGAAGTTGCAGTACACATAGTCTGCAGTAAGGCTGTGTGTGCAGTAGGACACAATAGGCTCTGTCAGTAAGAATGTATGATATTCTTGCCCCAAATAAATTCTTTATATATGTAGTAAAATTTCTAAGCTCAGTTCAAAGATATGTTGGTATTTATAAGAATTTGTGGAAAAGTTAAGCTTGAAATCCCTCCTCTGGTGTCCAGCATGTCACTTACCCACCTTCTGCCTTCATTTGGATATGCCTTCATTTGGATACCTTTCATGGTTAAAACATAGTAGGTATAATTCTTGGGTTGGTAATGACATTCCCTTGTTCTCTAGGCAGTGATAGTGGGCTCTGTCACCCCATCACTGTGCATTCATCTCATAAACTGTCACTTGAATTCCAGGTTCACTCAAACAAGAACTCAAAAATTGGTTTTGAAAAGTCTTCAAAATGGATGAAAATATATTTTGAAAAGTCTTAAGACTTTTTCATCTGAAGTTTCTAGTTGAGATGTACTGTTAAAGACCTTTGAGTTTTTCTTAATGTTGTCTTGCAGTGAGCACAATGAAAAGTCCTTAATTTTCTAACAAATTATACACATTCTTTAGCTTCATGGTCCATGTACCAAAGACCTCTTGCTCCCTCTACAGAAGGTGCTTCAAAATTGCAGTCACGGCATTTTTTCTGAGATTCGTGATGATTCAGAAAGAAGTTTTAAGTTTATATATTTCCAGTATCTTGCAATGCCATTGGGCAACTTTTTGTGTACTTCACTATAGCATTTTTCCACTGGCATCAGCAAGTTAAATAGTGACAGTTGTAGAAAAGAGTATGTTTTTGTTGTTTATTTCTTTTTTTTTTTTAAATCTAACATATAAGTAAAATGCCTGTAAATTTAATGATTGATTGTTTTAGTCATTTTCCTTATTATGTCATGAAATTTAAGCCATAAAGATAATGTACTCTAACTCACAGACCTTACGTATTGTCTTATTTATTTTCACTGCTTTAGTCCTTTTTAGTTCTTGCTTGTTGGGGGGAAAAATAACAATTTGGTAACTTCACAGGAGAAAGAACTTTCATTTAATTAAATTGGATGTATTTTCAAGTATAACAGTCATAAGAAAGAAAATACTCAACCTTTCTATAAAAACTTCATTAAATGTAAAAGTACCATGCATATATACTTACCATTTTAATGCACCCATTTATGTTATATTGGAACAAAATGTTAATATTTTAAGAGCATTGATTTATTTTTCTGCATTTTCTGTTACAATTCCAAGACAGTTTTGTTTCATATGACAAGTTATAGATTTCTCTTACTGTGCCATTTAAAATATGTACAAAAATTCTTTTAATCCATCAGTAGTTCTTTTTTTTTTTTTTAAAGATGTATTTATTTGTACATACAGAACTGGGGTAAAGGCCAGAGATGCGGAGGGTGAGAGGATTCACCAGAGACAGAGCAGGGAGCAGAACAGGCAGATCGACGAAGTACACTGCTGAGGGGAGCAGAGGGCGGGTCAGGAGAGGTCTGCCGCGCCATGTGGTCACCTCCGGGGCAGGCGGGAATCGAACTCATGCGGAAGTGGCTTTAGCTTCTCAGTGTTGTGCTTTAACCCACTGCGCCACCAAGGAGGGCCTCCATCAGTAGTTTTAACAAAAGTTTGAAAAACCTTATCATTTGTACTTAGTATCAGAACAGTTCTTCTAATATCACTCTTCCTCCCCCAAATTATACATGCTTAAAACTTTGCTATAGGTTCCACATAATGATTAATTAATGCATTTGCAACGTTATTCTCAATGTATTTTTTCTGTTCTAAGCCTTTATGAAAAATGTTAGTGCCTAGAATATTGAAAAATGATAAACTAGCTTCTTTCATTTGAATATATCACATTGGTTTTGCCTATTCTGGGTTATGCTTAAACTAGACTGGACTTTTTTTTCTCCCCTCTCTCCCCCCCACTGATAGGTGTACTGGTCCATTAGCAAATTCCCTTTCAGAAAAAAACAGAGACCCGCTAGAAGAGGAAGATGAATACAAGATTCCTTCATCCCATCCTGTTTCCTTGAATTCACAACCATCTCATTGTCATAATGTAAAGCCTCCTCCTAGGTAAGAAGTGGGCAGCTATTTATCACATCATATCTGTATAAGCATAACCATGCGTGTTGTTTGTAAGCAACTGAATCACATTTAATTCTGCCTTCTTTCTGAAAGCCTTTTCTTCTAGTACACTATTTTTTGCATTACTCTTCAAAGAAAACTAAGAGGCAGATTTCCCATTAATCAGTAAGTTATTTTACTTAGTTGACTTGTAAATCTAATGGAACATTTTGTTGACCCTTCCCTCCCCAAAACAAATTATACATTCATAAAACTTTGCTATAGGTTTAACATAATGGTGATTAATTAATGCATTTTCAATATTATTCTTAGCACACTTTAGCTGTTCTAAGACTTTATGGAAAATGTTAGTGATTAGAAGCAAATGCATTATGACAGCTTTCCTTTGATTTTTTTTTCATAACCATAAAACTAAAATAATTTATATGTATCCCCTTCTTTACACCAACACTTTTACTATATCTTGAAGTTTAAAAAAAAAATACCTGAAGTTGTGTTCCTGAACTGCTTTTTATCACGTAAGATTTTACTTTTTCTTGGACCAAATAAGAAGGTTAGCAACAGTGTTTTCTTCTGGTCGGTTTATTCTTGTTTATTCTTAGTGTAATGGGGACATCCTTGGGCATTAAGTTATCAGCCTTACTGAGCGATATGACACTTAACAAAAATGGGTGGATGTATTGAAATATTGCTTTTTAAGTAGGATGCTGCTGCATTTATATAATGGAAAGAGTAAGCTGTAATCTATTATTTTTCTGTTGATTCTTTTTCATCAACTTCAGAACCTTCAGAGCTCCAGCTCCTTTGTATCACACCTCTGAAGCTATGCTGGATACATAGAATAGGGCACTCCAATTCTCCAGTAGCTGCTGGTGGTCCAGCCTTCTGCCTCCCAATATTGCTTGACTGACTGAGAGATAGGAGAGCCTTTTTGACACTTCAATTATCTACATTATCTTTATTGAATATGCCGTTTCCTTTTTGAGATCGTCAATCAATTGAGAGCATTTTACGAGGGGAATATTTCCTTCTTTTAGATGAAAAAATTAAAAGAATTTAATGCCTGCCTAAGTATCATACTGAGGTAGAAAAATACATTGGGGGGCGGGGGGGGGGCAGGGAATGGAAGCAAATTTCACTTTAACTACACATCTGTCCTAATGAGTGATCCTGGCTAGAAGTACCCACCTGCTGCAGAATTATAAACCAGGCCAAGCCTTTGTATTTAAAGAACCAAGGCACTTCTTGCTAATTGCTGGTGTTTAAGATATTTGTTGATAAAATAGTATCATTAAGAGGACAAATAAGTGAGAGGCAGTTTGTTATAGCAGAACCACCAAGGGTTTCCTCCCCTGTTAGAAAATTTGTCCCTTTACAGCAAATACAGATTGTTAAGTACTTTCAGTTCCTTTGGCTCTTAGAAATGTGTGGTAATTCTTAAAAAGTTCAAAAAAAAATGAAGATGAGTTTTTTGTTCAACTTGAGTTTGTTTGTTTTACTGCTTAGTGGTGAGGGGTATAATTTTAATACTTTAAATTTTACTTGTCACATCATATTAGGTGAAATTTTTTTTTGGGGGGGGGGCAGGCATCCCAAATCCTGAAAATAAATTTGAATTATAGCCACCATCCCATTTATTCTACTGTTATAGAAAAAGTCATGAATGTTGATAATGCCTAAACTTGATTGCAGTGAAATTTTTATCCAATTTGTTCATGAAAGCTATTACAGTGTATTATGTTATCTACAAAGCCCTCTTTAAGGTTAAACACTGCCTTTCACCTCTGTATCCTGTTCCTTTGGAGAAATTGTCAATATGTGGAAAAAGTTAAACAGTAGATAAATAATTCATCTCAGTTTCATCATTCTTATGAAAATTCAATACTTTTAAATGAACCATCTCTGCTTCTTTAAAGAGAAGTAGCCAGCAGAGAGAACAGAAATGCACTTCACATGAAGCACTCTTGATCTATTCAAATATCGTTCGTTATGTATATACCTTTACCTTGCCCCAAGAATGCTGAGTAAATCAGAGAAATGCAAAACATGAACTCGGCCTTCTATAGCTTTTTTAAAGAAATAGTTTATTCTTTTCATTTTGAAAGATCAGGGCTCTTTCCGTCTGGTATCTGCACCCAGTTCACCTGTAGTCCACCACAAGCCATTGTGTTCGTGCGTTCCTACCCCTTTCCCTTTCCCATATGTCTGCTCTGTTGTCTTCAAGCTGTTAAGGTTTTTTTGATTCTTAATTTGGTTCTCTATTTTTCATTTAATAGTAGAATAATGTGGTGAGCCTAGTCCATAGCTATGCAGCTATTTAGTTGCCGAAGACAAAACAGGCTTCTCTTTGCCGCTGTCTTTCCAAACCTCAGCTTTACCCATTGTGTATGTGCAAATGATTCAGAAGTATTAATAACCAAGTAATAAAAATACACTTTATGTTATAATTAATGTTATAGACACCGATTTAGAATGTTTTCTATACCCAAGGACTTTGCTAATATAATTTTTCTCCATTTGTCAGAAGCATGGAAATTTTCATTGTGGCAGAAGTGGAACTCTCCCACAGAGTCTGGGCCTTTAATATGCCCGTCAGATTGTGATAGCATGAACATTTAATAAGCTGCCTTCATTTTATGGTCTCTATTGCGAGGGAAAATTAAATTACAAAAATAAGTTAAAAAAATACCATAAACAAATAATAGTCACTAAATTGTGGGGTTTTGTTTTTTTGTTTTGTCTTGGTACCTTTTTTCCTTCTAAGACTTGACAAGGTAATATCATGCTCTGAAAATGATGTGTTAATTTCACACATGCCTAGATAATCCAACAATTTCTGTGGTTATAATTGGTTTCACTTTTTAAAAGGACATAAGAGTATAGAAATTGAACTTTTTCTGGGAAAGAGGAAATACATTTTTAAACTTGTAAGTGAACAGGATGGTTAGTTGCCATCATCAACCCAAATGACTTTTAAATGGAAATCTTTATCCTTATGATTTTGTCCTTTGATCTCTACTTTAGGTCTTGTGATAATGGTCATTGTATATTAAATGGAACCTATGGTACATCTTCAGAGATGAAGAAATCGAACATCCCTGACTTAGGCATATACTTAAAGGGTATGTATAAAACCTTTATGCTCTACACCTTAATGGTCAGAATTTAAAGGCAAAGTTCTGTGCTACTGTTGACGTGAAAATACATTAAGATTTTGTGTTATCCTCTAGGAGATGTTTTTGAGTCAGCCTCTGATCCAGTGCCACTACCACCTGCCAGGCCTCCAACTCGCGACAACCCAAAGCATGGTTCTTCACTCAACAGGACGCCCTCTGATTATGATCTTCTCATCCCTCCATTAGGTTGAAATCTTTAAAAAATTTTCAAAACGTCCACCCTGACACCTGTCTCAATTAATATCTGAATTATCAGAATTCAAAGCAATGCCTTTATATGAAGCAAAAGGGGTTTCCCAGGTGATGGTGGCACTCCTTTTCACCTTTACTGGTAGATGGCAAGCAGAGATAGAAAAGGTGGTAGTTCTGTGTACTAAAAGCCGTTGAGAAAACAGGCGAGCCTGGTTCATTCCCCAGACCTTGTGTTCCAGTAGGCTTGAAATGTTCAAGATTTTCTTAAGTCCAGTTCTTAAAGAATGTGTGTACTATTTCTTTCAGCACTCAGCTAATTGCATAAAAATAGGCATTTTATTGTAGTAAGTGGAGAATATTGTCTTATTATAACTGTAACACATGAAGAATCTGTGCACATAGAGTGAAGGTACACAAAGGTGTGCAGTTAGCAGGTGCTGGGCTCAAGTTCACTTAAGGAGGTGTTGGTGTCACATTAACAAACCAATGTGCCATGGTTCTTTTCACTCTGATCTGATTTGGTTATTAGGCTACCAGAAATAGAAAATTAACCTATTTTCCCCAAACTCCACATACTAGCATTTCTAGTCATATAATTAGGGTGCCTTTTACTCCTCTTCTCTGGATTTCAGGGCTTTTTGTGTATAATGGATAAGGGCCTCCTAGCTAAGTCACCTACAATATTTCTCTTTCTCCTTCCTTAATGCTGCTAGGTTTTGACCAGTAACCCAAGTGTTATGATCTATATCAGCATTTTCCAATAGAACTTAATGTGGTGATTTTAAGGATATCTATATTCACATGTGGCTAGTGTGACTTGATCTGAATTTAATTTTAATTAAATACCTATGGGGATGGTAAGTAGCGTACTAGACAATGAACATAAATGCTCCAACCTGTCTTTTTAGCATGTTCTTCCTGTGCCCCTCATGCCTTGCTTATAACATTTATACCACCTAGAGCTCACCATTATACATTTGGTGAGTAAATGGTTTCAAGCCCCCAGTAACCCTGACCTTCTTCTTGGTAACACCTATCTAAATCTTATTTTCTGTATTTTTTCCCTCTTTTAGTGCATATCCCTTGCTGATACCTATGGGAAATTCACCCACAAATCATACCTGTTTTTTTTTTTTTTTTCTTATATCCCCTGGTGAAAACTAAGTTTGATTTTGATCATTACATACACATAAGGTGCCTGACATTTAGGGGCTGAAAAAAGGTTCAAATAAATATGATAACATAGCAAACAACTAAAAGTTAGAATGACAAAATCATTTTAGTTTATACTTTTATGTTTAATTCAATGCATTTAAATACATAAGAAATTTGATTACTGCAATACGTAGGTGTTCATTTCATTAACAAAGTATTTGAAATAGCTTACAAAGATACAAGTATTGCATTTCTAAATCTAAAGAATCAAGGTAAGGGGAAACGTGAGTAAAATAGTATGACAGGGGGAAAATTAGATATAATTGCATAATGCACTATTGTACAGTTGCTGGGAAGTATGCAAATAGAAGTAACTAGCTATGGGAACCACAAAAGGAAGTTCTATATTTAACTGTTCCTCTTTAGAGACAACAGATATGTGAAAAATATATTCTTCTATTGTGTACCTTTAACAATGAAATAGATAAAACATTAAATGAAATGCAGTGGAATAATATAAAAAGTAAACTTCTGTGACATTAAATGTTGTACATGTGATTTTCTAATTAGAGGTTATAAGCATTTACAAAGAATTTGGTACTAACAGTGTGACCGATAATAAATTTTAGGTCACATTTCCCATGTCTCAATATTATAAAAGGTACAAGTGAATAATAAGCCGTCTTCATAATCTGCACTCTTTTTTTTTTTTTTAAATGGTACTAGGAGGTAGAAAATGTTTACACATACATATGTGTCTGTTTTTCTCCAAACATTCCCATAAAATTAGTAACTCCTGTTATCAAAGACAGTGAGCTGCTGGATGAACCCTGCAGGTGAAGTGTTTTTTAAGCAGCAAAAGTAACCATTAATTTTGCTTTTTACCTGATACATTTTGATGAATGCTGAATGCTGTTGATACTGACCTTTCTTTAAATAGGCGAAGATGCGTTTGATGCCCTTCCACCTTCCCTCCCACCGCCTCCCCCTCCTGCAAGGCACAGTCTCACTGAGCATTCAAAACCTCCTGGCTCCAGCAGCCGACCATCCTCAGGACAGGACCTCTTCCTTCTTCCTTCAGGTAGGTGGAAAAACTACAGAAAACTTGTCACTTAAAATCTTACTGTCAAGAATGTAATCCATTTGTTTCTGGTTTCCTAGCAGAAAAATCCTTGGAAGAGAGAGGGAAAATAGCAGCCGGTGGGTAGGTTTGTTAATCAGTAGGTTTTATGCCAAAAAAGATAGGAGGAAAGAAGGAATCATAGAATTTAGAAATGGTACCGTAAAAATAAAATCATCCAGCACAAATAACAGCCCCAACTTATATGAGGCACTCCTGAGAAGCTTCAGTGATTGGACAAACTAGAGATGCTGAGTCTATTAGGTTTTTAAGCCTTAGTAGAAATGCCTTAGTTTCAGATTTTTCAAAAATGTACTTTGGTAAAGTACACTGCTGTAACATTAATAGGTAAGTTTTCTGAAATATCTGCATTTTATGGCTTTGTCACTGCATCTTTAAAGTCTCTGTACCAACTCCAATTACTGGTCATTAAGGGAAAAATTACTACATAGCTTTTTTCTGTCACTAGGGAAAATCAAAAGATTTAATAAACTATCCTCTGCATTAGAATTGTCAGTGGAAAACATTCAGTCACATTGAATCTGCTGATCCTGGGCTTCTTAATCTGTCTTGTCAGTGATACCAGTGTGTTCTAAAATATTTGCTGCCTCGAATTGCTTTGGTTAAAAATAGGGGAAATTGTTTTTCCAAACAAATCTTCTACCTTTTAGATGGATAATCCTGTAAAGCTTGTCAAGAGTGCTCTGGGACCCATTTATCAGTGAAATTGGGATTTTCAGTCATTATCTTTCACTTTTGGTATTCTTTTTCTGTTTATAATCACCTGGATTGTGGACATATACCTTGTAGTATATAGCTTGATTTTTCTAAAAGTAGTTCATCTTCTAAGAAATGTTTTATAGCAACTCTACATAAATTTTAGGTGGGCAGCCTCATGGTTCCAAACTGGTACATAATGTAGAACAGCCATATTATTCTACATTATGATCCCACAGAAAGTCTAGTTCCCACACAGCACAAAGATTTGTCCCCAGGATCTACCACTATGTAATCAGGACTTATCTTCATTTTTGCTTGTTCCTTTTGTTTTGTCTTCCACTTAGCGTGTTTGCATAATCCCCTGCATGTCCATCCATGTTATTGCAAGCTTTTGAGGTTTGATGACTCTTTAGTGATGTGTGCACATTATTCATTTTCTGTGTATGACACTGTTTGGCTTGATAGTGCTTGTGTGTGAGCACTTTCCATAACTTTGTATTATTGCTTCCTCCATTTGATGTCTCATTTTCCATCTTTATATTAATTCTTGTGGGTTAACTTAATACTACAATTTTTATCTCAATCTACATTTCCTATTTTGCTATATACTCACCTTTTCCACTGAAATTCTTCTCTTACATTCTTGATGCTAATTAGCACTACCACTGAACTTGAACAGGGCAGGATCAACCCTCAAAAAACTGGTGTATAACTTTTGATTCCCTCTAAATTTAACTGCAGGCATTCCTTGGTTTTCAGAGTATTGGTTCCAACACCACACCCCTGGCCCCCACAGATGCCAACATCTGCTGGTGTTCACAAGCCTTGTGCACCTTTTGGGTTCCACATCCAGGGATTCAATCAATGGCTGGTTGAATTTGTGAATGCAAATCTCAAGTATAAAAAAGTATTTAGGCCCTCCCTGATGGCGCACTGAGAAGCTAAAGCCACTTCCGCATAAGTTCGATTCCCGCCTGCCCCGGAGGTGACCACATGGCGTGGCAGACCTGCCCGCTGCTCCCTTCAGCAGTGTACTTCGTAGATCTGCCTGTTCTGCTCCCCATTATGTCTCTGGTGAGGTCTTTCGCCACCCCTGAGCCTCTGGCCTGTACCCCAGTTCTGTATGTACAAATAAATCTTAAAAAAAAAAAAAAAAGCAAAGTTAAAGCAATCTTATTCCTAATTTTAAACCCATGTTGTTCAAAGTCAACTTTCTTTCAAAAGCAGACCCTTTAACAGTTCTTGCTAGGCATACTTATAGGTGATGAATTCTTCTAGCCCTTGTTAATCACTCCATAAATTTCAAATGTATGTTTCCTCCCCCACATAACTTTTGTGTGCATTCTTTTATTCTTGAACCCCTATAATGCAATTATTCACTTTTATTCTCCTCTGGTATGTTTCAATTTTGTTAGTGTACTCTCAACCTTAAAACTTCTTTAGGTGTTTGTTGATATTCTCTATCAGGATACTTATCGTAACTTCTGACTTTGCCTGCCTCTTCAGTTGGGACCTGATCCTCTATGTGGTAGGCAACTCTGCTGTGTCCCCTGCGGCTGCCCAAGCGAGGCATTCAGATGCTTTTCCATCCACTCAACTCTACCTGAGGAAGCCTTGTGTGGTGTCCTGAGTCTGAGGGGCTTTGTGTACCTACCTCCTTTTATATGTTATTTAAGGCCCTTTAAATTAAAAATCACTGTAGGGCTTTTAAAATTAATGGAAATCTCCCAAGCTTGATTTAACTTCATGGTAAGATGTGCAAGTTTTGATTTTAGTAGCTTGCCAGGCAGCATAGCAACAGTATCCTTAACCTGCATGAGGCTGCCTTAGGGCCAGAGCGATGTCATTTGAAATGATTTTCTCTTTTGACCTCCTTTTATACATGGAGGCATTCTCAATAATGCTGACATCCCCATATAGTAAACACCATTCATTTCTACTCTGTTGCCAGATACATTTAATTTTATTCATGTCAGATTGTAATGTAAATATTTCTTTTGGCTTACAAATAAGCATTTTGCAATCTGAAAATCTAAGAGGGTGAAGAAGTGTTATTGTGAATCTTCTAAGAATTGAGCCTCAGAAAATACTATTGCATATTTATAGTATACTATAAATTATGTAAAAAGTGACTAGTAAACAGTCTGCACAGGCATTTCACCACTGTTTTTCAATAGGTAAACGTATATTCCATTGTAATCAAACCCACCTCCTTAGCCAAGGATGCTAGTCCACCTTGCCAGCATTATGCCTAAATGAATTTCTCTGTAGTCAAGATCCCAAAGTGCAGGGTCCTGGGTTTCTGCAAAGGAGCCATAGGGTTCCTGTAGGACGAAGGAAGGACAGAAAAAGAAGGGTGCACAGCCTGATGCTGCTTTTATGTTTTCTATTTTAGTACTTCATGCAAGATTTCTTTTGGCAAAACAGTAATGCCACTGCTTTATGTCGGCCATCTGTTCAGGAAGGGCCACTCAGAGCCTGAGCTTAACAAAACCTAAAGAACTCTAAAAAACAGCTTCACACTTTACTGTCAACAAACCTAGAACTACCACAAGCATATATGTGCTTTTGTCCAGATTACAAAAAGACCCTTCCTTTGTGCTGGCTTTGAAATAGCAGCCTCCCCTCCACTGTGTACCCGAGCAAGTGCTGAATGAAGCAAGCTAAGTCTGTTCATTCTCATAATGGCATGTCTTTGTGCAGTGCACAAAACCCAGTGTATTTAGCAGCCCTCACTGCACCTTTCTTTCACTCTGTCTCTAATCTAGACTCTTTTGAAGTCCTTGTCCGATCCTAAAGTCACGACTCAAGTCTAACAGTTAGCAAAGTTGATTATTAGAAATGTAATCATATAACTACAAAGGAAACCTGAATCATTAGCAATAGTTACAAGGATATAGGTGGGTTTGTTTATTGATCTTTGAGGGTTACATTTAGTCAGGGAAAGAGGAGGCCACTGTGTTCATGCATTGATGGGCTAGTGTGGTGTTGTCTTCATATCACCTGGGGACTTGATAAAAAGGCAAAGTCTAACTGAGAAACACTGTGCCAGGGTATTCCTAGAAGAGTACAGCAACATGGTACTGGGAATTCTGACCACACCTAAACTGTGTGGGTTAATGGAATTGAGGGTGTTTAATGGGGAGAAAGCCCTGGATCGGAAACTTAGTAAGTTATTCTTGCATATCAATCCAGGCCTATATCATATCTAGTAGAGATTTTATGAATATGAGTCAAATATTGAACAGAAGAGGAGGAATCTTGTTTCAGATCAATCTTCTGGATTTTTGGGTAGTCCCAGAAGGAATGTTTTACTGTTCAGGTTTGTCTATTGAGTAAAAATCTTTGTTGTCACTGGGGGGAAAAAAAAAAATCAAGATTCCATAATGCCTCTTCCCCACAATATCCACTTCATAGGTTTCCTTATCGCACAGCATAATTTTGATTGATGCATATTCCCCCCTTTTATAATTAGCAAATACTCCCGTCCCGTTTTTTAATCTCTAAAATAAACATTAAATCTTAAATGTTAATGCTACCATACTATAAATCACTAACAGCAGTGCTTTACTTTTTAGAATAGATTAACTCCATCGTGTTTACACACATTTACTTCTCAAACACTCATTACAAATTGAAAAAAAACATTTATATACTATGCTTTAATCCTAAGTGTGGCTATAAAAATTTTATTTTATTTAGTTTTTGAAGATTTTTTACTTTTCAAATTTTTCTTATCAGGGGAGAGTTAGTAATTGTGCTTTATGGATCTTTTCATGGAAGCATGACTGCTTCCAAAGGTATAACTTGCTATAGAATTCGAGTTTACCCTGTATCTGAGCAAATTTACATTTAAGACAAAAAATAGTTCACATTCAGAACTGAAGTATTTTTTTGTTATGTGTTAATATTTTTAATGGCCTTAGTAACTTAAGGAAAATTGCTTAAGGGAACAACATATCATAGCACTGTAGTCTGTTTATGCCTGAACTATATGCAGTCTTACGGTGGAAATATCTGACAAATCTATAAATTACACTTGACATAATTTATATCAATGCTTCTTCAAAATGCAAAAAGTAAAAGCAATTGGAGTATCAAAATCTTCACCCTACTTGGTTTACTTAGTAAGTCTTCCAAATCAAGAGACTAACATCTCATATTTATCCTCTTGGCCCTTCCTAGAATGTTTCAGCAAAATTAAAATAACTCACTGACTCTTCAAATAACCTACGACTCAATTATATTCCTAATGTCATGTGAAAGTTAAAATAATGAAATATAATCAGATCATCCTTAATAATTCCCAGGTTAGTCTAGCAATTCAAATTTCACTGATCCTGAAACATCTGAACCTATCAAAATTTTAAAATTTTGGTAATTATTACCTACAGGCTGTTTTCCAACGAGTTTACTTAGTACATGTGTTAGATACAAATTCAAAGATGATGAGGTTTATGAGCCTAATGACTTCCTAAGAGTTGAGTTTACTATAAATTCAAAACTTAATGTTAATAATAGAAACCCCAAATGGCTGATTCAATTTACAGGTTGTCTGGTGTTAGAGATTGACTTGTGTTCATTGTACAGGAAAGATTAGCACATAAAATTAAACACAATTTTCATCAATAATTTTGCAGTTCAATTAGAGACCTGAAAAATGTATAAATGTATTATTACCTAGGAATAAGTTAGAAGAGCATATTTGATCAAGTGATGAATACATTAGAAGTAATTCCTAAGTCATGAAATTTTTTCTAATTTCAAATCTTTACACAGAATTTTGTCTTCAGTCAACTGACAAGGCTAAATAAAATCTTTATTTTTAAGATCCCTTTTTTGACCCAGCAAGTGGCCAAGTTCCTTTGCCTCCTGCCAGGAGATTACCAGGTGAAAATGTCAAAGCCAACAGAACATCACAGGACTATGATCAGCTTCCTTCCTCTTCAGGTAAGTAGACTAATAGCAATCAGACCTTACAGATTTATATCGTTAGCTTTTCAGAACATCTTTTCGTTAAACAATTTAAAGGGCAAAGTATTTTCAGCACCTTTCATTGTGCTTATAAAGTTGGGTTTGAGAGGTTTCTGGTCTTAACATTCGCTTTCATTGACCAGTAAGAGATGCTAATGGCAGGGGAAGGAACAGTAGTACATCCTTTCTCTAACTTCTGTTTTGCCTTATTAGCTATGTGAGATCTTTGGTGAAAATATTCTAAACTATGTCTCCATAATTAATGCAGTGCTCCACTCTCAGCCAATAGGTGAGGAGGGTACCAGTTTGGTCAGTACAAGTCATATTCATCAGCAGTAAAATTCTTCTTCCCCGGCCCCCATTGCTATCATAATTCAACAACTGTTAGTTTGTCTGGACCTGAGAGATTAAGTAGTCCCGGTTATTATTCTCAGGTAACATCAACGAGTTTAGACTTCTCCCTGTAAGGTACTGTTTTCTAGCATGATACCAGTCACAGGGATGTCAGGCTGCCCAGTAGGTTATTTCATCTCAGAAATCTGAGACTGGGCATTATATATGATGAAGACTCTGATATAACTGTATCACCTTAAATTCAGTTTCACTTATCTTTTATGGTGAAATAATGAGTAGTGACTTATTGATATGAAAAAAATATTTTTAAAGAATTCAAAATTATCCTGTTTCTATCTCTTTTGCCTAAGTTATCGCAAATATACCTATGAGCTAGTAGGTTTTACAGTTTTTCCTTGTAAAATGTTTTAGTTTGAATATCCTTCAAAAATCCAGGGAATACAAGTTATAGCAGAGTAATTACAAAGTACAATGGGGATGTGCTTATATTTGTACTGATAACATGCAGCACAAGAAAAGATTTTTTGTAGTATGAGGATTTAAAGGCAATTTAAACTATTGAAAACTGCTAGAGTTTCAAATGTGATTTGAGTTCAATATGTTTATAACTAGTAAAAGCTCTTATTGTCAACAAAATAAGGGAGATCTCCCTTATTAGTTAAAAGTGACCAAATATATGAAGTTTATATTAAGGCTAAATAAATAGCCTTAGGCCTTCACTATATTTATATACAACTTCAGTTTTACAACAGAATCTGGATTATGTGCTTGTAATTAAAATGATGCATTAACACGTCCTAAATTTAGGACATGAATTAGTTCCAAAAATCAATTGATCCAACTTAAACAATCATTTTTAAAATTTCTTTAGCATATACATGGATCAAGTGCTATTTGAGATGAATATAATGTAATATATATTTATTCCTCACTCACAACCAATCTGAGATAGGTATTAATTTGTACAAGAATAGCATAAACACAGTAGGGATGAAAAAGGGTATTAGAAATAATTTTAAAAATCTACACTATAGTACTGAGTTCTGATCATTTTTCACATGAAATTAAGGAACCACTAACTATATACTTTTAAATCATCTTGTTTCTAAATCTCTGTCCCTGTATATATCTCAGAGCTATCCACCCTGCAGAGAGGATCCAAGCCTGTTTTTTTTTTCTAATTATGAAAAATTAGTCACCTATGACAAGATGGAAGATTACAATCCATAGGCAAGCCACCGTACCATATCATGACACATGCAATGTTGTTATAGTGATAAATATAAACACTTGGTGATAGCTATTGTAAAATGAAACAAATGGAAATTGAATTCAACACTTAGCTCAAAATATGAGCCAAAAAAATTTAAATGACTAAGGTGGTTACAAGGCCCTCTTGTGGTCAAACAGTTTGTAGCCACTGAGGCAGAGTTACCAGCCCTATTCACTCATGCCCTCCCTCCTGTAACAAGGAGGTAAATTATGTAAGAACTTACTCCTCAAGGGACTAGTTTTTACCCTCCTGTGGATAATATTGCCCAGTTTGGAATGCATGACTTATCATGATCTTTTAAGGTGTAATTCCAAACATTCATCAGGCTAATCAATCCATCCAGTACTTTTTCCTCTCATTTCCTTAGAATACGAGAGTCAAGTTTTATCCTAGATCAGTGTTTCTCAAATCTTGCTCCCATGGAGTTAACACAGGGAAGTAGACAGTGTTGTATCTCAAATGTTTTTGCTGGTTTTAGTATTTACCCCTTGGTATCACTCTTCATTTAAATACTAAAGAATTCTCCCATGTTATGAGTAAAGTTGGTACTCTAGGGAGCTGCACCATTGAGTTGTTGAAAAGTCAGGACATACTTTTTTTTTTTTTAAGTAAAAATGCATCATGACATTGCCAACAACCCAGTATTTCATGGCTTCATCTATTCTTGCGCTCAAACACTGTTAGCATTACTCAAAGAGATTCAAAAATACTACAAGCAAAGACAGCAGCACTGCGGTGAATACATGTCCATGTAATAATTTACATAAATTCCCAGAGTTAGTAAGAACAGTATAATATCTGAAGTACTATGGTTTATCTTTCGATACTTTTAACCCTGATTTATTCTACTGATCTGTCCCCTTTTTTCAATACAGCTTCCACTGGTACCTCAGATTCTAACAGGTCTTGCATACAAGAACTGGGGTCCAAGCCATGCTGGGGGGCGATCGGGAGGGTGTGAGGACTGACTAGACACACAATGGGGAGCAGTGGCTGAGACAGAAGAGGTGTACTGCACCATGTGGATCAGCAACCTGACTGGGGATTGAACTGCAGTGAATGGCAGTGGCTTGAAGCACTGAGCCTTCCTAGGGAGTTAGACACAACGAATTCTGTCTTTCTCTTCCGTACTTCTAACACAATTTTCTATCTAACAGCTGTTATAAGTATGAATTCATTTCCTTTCTTTTGAATGTAAACACAATGTTTACATTAATCCTGGCACTATTTGACTGAGAAGGAATAAATAGTACCTTAGTGGTTGACTGAAGCTGACTAGTCTGTGCGGTGTTTCTCATCTGTTATAGATGACATTTATCTGGTGCAGAGCTACACTAGCCCATTAGAATTGTCAAATTAAGATATTCCAAGTGAAATTCACCAAAAAAAAAAACGTTCTGTTTAAAAGATGGCACAGCAGACCTCTCCCATCTGTTCCTTCCCCCCTCAGCAGTGTATTTCACTTGCTCTGCCTGTTCTGTTTTCCCACTCTGGTGAATCAGCCCACCTCTGGCCTATACCCCAGTTCTTTTATGCATGAATCAATATTAAAATAGAGAGATGATACAATTAATCTTCAAAGAAAAGAGATTCGGAAGTGATGGCCAAACAGCCAAATAGATTGAGCTAAAGCAGTGACAAGTAGTATTAAATGAATTGGGATGTGGGTCTATGAATTTTAGATTGAGGGGGAAAATAATCCTGCAGTTCTTCCTTATGAAAATGTCTCTATTTAATTGTCATGTGTGTTTCCCTGATGACTGAGGTGTCCTGAGTTAAACTTACTATTTTTCCCAAGCACAGATTACTTTTCTCTCAAAGCAACTAGTCCGCAAATTCTTTTGTTTTCCTAGTTATCTACCAAAATAAAACATGCATTTTACAGCCTAAAACATCATTGTCAATTATAGTATTCTTCCCACTTCACCTTTATCGACAACTGATCTTTTCAGAATTCTTGACACACATCACCTTAGTTTTCAGTGAACAGAAGCCAAAAAACAGAAAACTGCCAGCAGAAGATAAGAAAGTTAAGATTTTCTCCCCTGAAAAGATTTCAGAGCATAAAATCTGTGGTAATTGAATAGGAAAATCTTGCTTAGAATTTCTAATGGTTTTTGGAAATCACTAGAAGCCAAGTTGTACTTTAATGTCCATCTCTGAATAATGGAAATATTTGAAAGAAAAATAAACCTGAAGTGAAATCTGAAAACTTAATAAAAAAAAGTGACTTTTCTACAAAAAACACAAGTTAATGTGTGCCCCTATATCTAAGTACAATTTAGTAAAGCTTATTCATGATAGAATTTTTCAAAGTGGTTATTTTTCTGGAAAAATTATTTGTATGGCTGACGTATGAACATGGTGTTTACCAGTCGCCTTTTCATGCGAAGATGTATCTATTTCTTTAAATCATTTATCAGTTAGCTTTATGATTTAGATTCTTTTACTGAAAATTCCAGTATCTACTGGAGACATGATGGGTACAGGAGTCACAGGCATTTGGGTTCTAGCACTACTCACCTTCATTTGTATTTTTTTTTTTCCATCTCGATTGTAATCCCCACGGATTTCCCATCACCCGTGTGCCACCACCATAGTCCCGTGCATTTCCCTCCCTTCCCCCTCCCCATTTGTATTCTTAATCCTGGCATTTGTTGGTGGTCTAAGAAAAAAGGTATTAAATATTGATGCATGTAACTGAATATATTTTTTAAAACTAAAGTGCCAAATACAAATAACATGGAGATGCATGACAAAAATCACCCCTTCAAGTTACTTCTTACCCTGGGGATTGCATGGGATATAGCCTATAATTTCTTTTTCTCCTCTAAAGGTTCCTTTAGAGGAACCAATGTCAATCGGTTGAACTTTGAAAGGCTTAATATTCCCAGTGATTTTATTCTTTTTTGATTGCCTAATTGATTACATCATGCCATGTACAGTAGAGGTGTACACCATTGTAAAGCAACATCTGTATAAACCACATTAAGCTCACTGCTAAAAAATACTGTCCTTTGCCGTAACTAACCCCTTTTAACTTCCTGCACTGAAACCCAGATGTTTGAGGAAAGGACTGATTTACTTCTGTTCAACCTACTGACAAACAGAAGACTTAAAATATCTACCCCACCCCTTCCCCAATTCACAGCATTATTAATCATAAAAGTCAGACATCTAGCAGCTTGTAAACAGATTTGCCACCAGTGAAAACTTCCTGTCACTTCTCCACAGTAGAAAAGGTGGGCTGCGCTGCCAAGTAGGAGCCAGCCTTGCTTAGGTCGTTGTTTTCCCCTGTATGTATCTTAATTCATTTGGCATAATACTAGGGAAGTATTCGCATTAACTTCTTAAGTTTGCAACACATTCTACCTCAAAATGGGAATATAAGCCTACCCCACAATATGTAAACATGGAGAATCATTTGCAGAACCAATGAAAAATATTCTCATTGTTAAATGTTCTCTCTTTAAAATCCATAGATGGTTCTCAAGCACCAGCCAGACCTCCTAAGCCACGACCCCGCAGGACTGCACCAGAAATTCACCACAGGAAACCCCATGGGCCTGAAGCAGCGTTGGAAAACGTCGATGCAAAAATTGCAAAACTCATGGGAGAGGGTTATGCCTTTGAAGAAGTGAAGAGAGCCTTAGAGATAGCCCAGAATAATGTTGAAGTGGCCCGTAGCATCCTCCGGGAATTTGCCTTCCCCCCACCAGTCTCCCCACGTCTAAATCTATAGCAGCCAGGACAATTAAACAAACAAACAAACAAACCACAAGATGTAAAATTGGTGAATATTCTAGCAGTGTGGAGAGAAGAGATGTGAAATGGAATTCAGGAGAGAAAGTGTCTCCTCGTCATGTGGCACCCAGAGGACAGAGAGGCTTAGAAGTGCTGCTTCTCAGAAGACAGCTGCTTGCTCAGGAAGTCAGCGCTGGGCTCTCTTATTTTTGCTAGCCATACTTTTAAATCAGGGTTGAACTGACAAAAATAATTTAAAGACGTTTACTTCCCTTGAACTTTGAATCTGTGAAATGCTTTTCCTTGTTTACACGTTGGCGAAGTTCTTGTTTTGAGTTTGTTTTCATCCCTGTACTGTGTTCTTGGGCCCTTTGTAAAGTGGTCAGGTCTGCTGTAACACCCCCCACCAGCTTCCTGCTTTCACCACAACCAAGTCATGTATTCATTTTGATTGCTCCCTTTAGATCCGCCTTCTCACACCTCCCAGGTCAAGTTCCATTTCTCCCAATTATAAGATGCTTTAAAGGTTCTGATTTTCATAGTATCAAACTAATGCAAAAAAAAAAAAAAAGTGTGGCCTTCACTACTGAATCTTCTCTTTGGACACCATCACTGTTGCGAGATGGGGAAAATCTGAATGTATAAAGCATTTTTTGGTCAATGAACTGCCTTTTTTAACACGGGGTTTTCATAAACTATAGAGGCACTTCCATATTTTGTATGTTTTGTGATCCGTCAGTCTTCCATATTCTCATCTTTGTTATCCCAAGGGTGTCATAACTCTGTAAAAACCTCTAATACTAGCAAGCAACTACTGCAGATGTGGGAGAAGTATACTTGTTCACAACAATACTGTGTTAAAGTTACATGATGAGGTCCCTGATACTTAGGTCTGGTTACTTATGTATAAAGGGGCCATCTCCCTGAAATATAGTAATCATTTTGAAAGTTATGGTCAGACCTTGCCCAAAGTAGAATGGAAATCACTTCCTGTTGGAGTGATTACACTCTAGTACCTAGCAGGTTTAGGAATAATCCCACATTGTGGTGAAGACATCCAATCTTTGATGCACTGCTAAGTGCCAATGCTACTGTCACATTTTTTTTTTTGGCAAATATCTTTTTCTAATCAAATTAGAGTTCATATATTTAATTTGTAGATTATCTCATTCACTGCCCCCATTGCTCCATCCAGTCAGGTAAAAAAAAAAAAAAGAAAAGAAAAAAATTTGCCTTTTATTGAGTATCTATGATATGCTCAGCGCTATTTTTAAAGCACAAACTGTTGCAAGCTAATTCCAACCATATTTTATTTGTTACCTGTACCTTTGATAAGTCTCTCTGGTGGACAAAACTTGGAAGGTTTCCACCAGAGCTTCAGAATTTTCAGGCAAATTGCTTTTTTTTCTTTACCTGAGAAGTTAGCAGGGAAATGAGAAAAAAACCAGGTGCATGTGAAATGATTGAACCACAGGTTTTCTAAAAAGATGCATCTAACAGTAAGCCTCTTCAGAAATTGAAAGGACATCAGTGAACATCTAGCAGATGCAGTGGAGGTAAATGAAACGTGTGGCCAGCCTGGGGTGAGAAGCCAGTGCATTCCTATGCACAGCGACTTGTGCCTTTCCCGACAGTCTGACCGTGGAGACATGGCGGACTGGAGGCGTCACAGGGCTGGGTAGTGTGTGCTCCTGATTTGATTTCAGGTGATTCTGACTAGTTACTGTCCCTAAGTGGGAATTTTTAATGTGTCTTAGATGTTACTCCTGTGAGTAGGTGTAAGTACAATTTTTTACACTTTTAACAATTAACATTGGCTCTTTTCTCCATTGCTTTATCAACTATATTATGGCATCGTGATTTTCCTTCCACTTGTTTCATCAGTTTCTGATGTCATGGTAGCACTGTATATTTTCTTTATGACTCACTGATCATAACATACTGTCTAAAAGCCAAAAGTTGCCCCTTCATTGTGGCAATAGTGTCCTAGTATTCTTATTAATGTAAAAAAACATAGTCCATTCTGACGTTTTTCAAGTGTGAGAAACTCCTGAGAGAGAAGACTGGTAATGGCATAGTGCATTCATTTCCTTAAAGTATTTGCAAAAAGAGGAACTTACTAGTCTGTACCTTGTACTCAAATCTTTTTGTCCTAAAATGAATCTTAAAACTGTACAAAAGTAATGGAAAGAGGAAACTTTCTATCAAACACGAAAAAGCATTGCTACCTATTACCTATAACAACCAACAAAAGAAACTGAGGAAATAAAGTACATTTCAATTCTAAAAATGATTATCCATTACTGATTGGAAATGACCCCAGCTCAGTTCCACTATGATTCAAATAGTCAGGCACTCCTCCCATTTCTCTTGAGTTGGTAATACGCTGTTTTTATTTTAAACAATATGACTTATAGTTGAATCCAACATTCAACCTACTTGCCCCAACCCCCAACATTTTCTGAGGGTAGAAGTTATCCTCAGTGATAGCCCAGTAAATTCATCTCCTAACGGTTCTCACCCTGCCTTGCCCTACCCTAATGTCTGTACTATCGTGGCCAAGTGTTTAGAGTTGATCAGAGCAATGCTTATGGTTAACTTGAACTTCTCCCCAAAAGGAATACCTTTATATCCCTCCCTAGCCACTTCCTGTCCACGTGGAAAATAGTCTTAATAAACCCTAATTACAACTTCAAAGAGCCCATTTTTGACTCAATATTTCATATACAAGAACACTTACAAATAATTCATAATGTGAATTTTTTATATTTTAGTTCCATAAGCATTTCCTACGCGTTGGACATTTTTTCTTTCAGAATTTCAACTTGAAGCTTAATTTGCACTGAATTATCTAACCTGGTTACAATTTTATTTTCTCTTAAGCGGACAGATTTTGAAGCAAATTACAATATTTTCAACAATACAGGTATTGCCTGTTGACCTGGAATTTTAGTGCTTCTAGGATAAGTTTCCAGAAAAAGACAGCAACAGAGTGAAGGGTTGTCTTCCCAGTTCTGTTTTTTTTTTTTTTTTTTAAAGACCTTTTTAAACTTGTCTAATGTGGCAAAGATAGTTATGTGTTCCATTAATTTATATTCATTCTTTTGCAATTTTGGTTATTATGTAAACACAAGTACTTTATCTGTTCTTTTAAGTATTTTATAAAATGAATGTTACAAAATCAGAGTGGGTATTTTATTTTTCAACTGAACACAAACATTCCTTTGAAACATTTTATGTCTTAATTCTCACCTTCTGTTAACAGAAGGCAATTGACTTAAGAGCTAACTGAACAAGGTGACACAAGTACCCATCACAGATGTAGCTACTACCTACCTAGTATCACACAGTCCATGGATAAACTACCTCACATGTCTAAGAACTGAAAGTTAATGGTTATGTTAAGTTTGCAAGTAAAGCCACATCTGCAAAAGCTGACAGTCTCTGGATGACAGATCATATAACTGAAAATTCTGACTCAGCAGTAACAACTGTTCTCTAAAGTCTTGATTTTTCTTTTACCTGACAGTGGCCAGAAATGGAGATAACAACGCTATTAACTATATATGAAACCAGAAAGGGATGCTGTGCAATTAATTTTTACATGCAACAGCCCAAGTACACTAACAACTATATTTTCAAATATAGTATCTCAAGTCATACAATTAAAGAGACACAAGCAGGTAATTCCAGCATAAATGCTGTGCAAAAAAATTATCATATTGTCCTGCAACAGTTTGTCTAGAGTTTGTTTAAAATATTTTTTCTGACCCTAACACTATATGCAAAGAAAGCACTTAATCCTCTGACCAACCATACTTCTTAGACTGGAAGAAAAATAGGGTATGATACTCTCCTCAGAAGTTAGACAAGTGATACAGTGATGTAGTAGTCAACCTAAAATAAGCAAGGCTTTCCTATTAAGAATGGACACCAGAAGTAAATCTTTTCAGCTCACACTAGTAAGTGTAATGAAAGTGTCCTTGAGCAAATCTGAGAGGCAATAAGACCTAAGGAACAAAGGAAGAGACTGTGGCTGGTGTTTGGGGGCCTGAAGACAAAGGTCTGTGCCAGCTACTCTGAGCTGTGGGAAACCAGAGGATCAGGAGTCAGTTGCAGGCCGATGACAGGACTCTTGAAAATAAGGGGAATTAGGTTGTGCCTAACATGAATGGTCACATCAAGTGACAATCAGGCAACAGACTAAAGGGAGATTTAATTTTGATGCCTCTTGTTTATGCCCCTCTTTTGTTTGATTTATTAAAGGGAAAATTGGACAGTACCCTTAATTATCTAATTTTTCCTTTTTCAACCACACTGCCACTTCTCTTGGGTCCTGACTTATGACTAGAATTTTAAATAGTTCCTAATTGGCTTCCATTGTTCTAGTGCAAGACAAAGTAATTTCTTCAATTCAAATCAATGTTACTGTGCAGGGTAAAGGCTTTTAAAAGTTGTGATTCCTCGTCTACATTCCTCACACTACAGCCCCAATGTACTCCATATCTTTGTATATACTAGCCCTTTTCAATTTTCTTTATCCAGCCTGCACAGCTTTCTTCTTTGAAATGCAACTTAGTTTGTGTCTGTGAAACATTTCTCTCTTTTCGTAGGAGTTGCACATAATCTTTCATATCTCACACAGCACCAACATTACAATATTAATCATGTGTCTTTTAAAGTACTCCAGCTACATTCATTAGGATCAATTCCTGCCTTGCCTATCTCCAAGGGATGTGACATTAGGCAAACGTTCTAACGTCTCTGCACTAGTTGCCTCTTCTGTGAAATGTGAGTTACAGCCATACTGACATCAAACAGTTGATGGCAGGACACAGTGAGTGAATACAGATAAAGAACTCGGAACATACCCATGACAATGTGGTGTTCAATAAATGGTAGCACTTACTATTATGTAATATAACCAGAACTACTAGGACTCATTTCATCACTCACAATTCCCTGAGTAGACAACAAAGAAAAGTCTGAAAGTGACAGTCATGTAGCTAGTAGCAGACACCAATGAAACAAGATCATTCTGACCAAATTGAGGACATTTAAAACTAATGAAGAGTAATGAGCTGCACATCTTACCAAGAAATTGCAGAACTAACAGAAACCTTTACTACTACTATCACACACTGTTCCTTTGCTACCCAAAACCCTATACAAAGAGGAAAGAAATTAGAGATACTAAGTAAGTGGACTACAAAGCCACTCAGTCGGAGAAACACTTTCTCTCTACAAAGAGGATAGACATTAGAGATGCTAAGTAGCTGGACTACAAAGCCACTCAGTGCGAGAAAAACTTTTTCTCCCATTGACTACCAAATATGCCAAAATCCTTTACCTTATTAATAAATGAAAGGCACAAATAAGCTTGTCTTAGGACATAGAGGAAAGTGGCATAAATAGTGGGCTCCTGTCGTTCCCTCATTAAATGTGCACAGATATTAAAGAGAACTCTCTTTGCCTGGGATAGTCTATAAAGACCCAAAGTTGAAACCAAGAGGTAATAACTACCTCCACATTCTAAAAACTTACAAATCTCTCTAGAACCCATTAAAGAGTTGGCAGTCGACCTCTTCTACAACAGCTATCTGAAGAAAATGGTGAATTTCATGTATTGATCTGAGAGATGTGACTGATGGGAGAGGATGCTATGAATTAAATCCACCTCTGCCAATCCAAGTAATGATACCTCCAGAAGAAAGCTAATTATCATTCATTTCATTCTACTTGGAAGTGTATTTACACAGTAGATTTACTGATAAGTCATTTGAGTGAGTGAGTGAGCTAACCAACAAATGAGTGAGTTGTGGGGGAGGGGAAAGCAGGGAAGGTTTCTACAAGAGTTGGATAACATCTGTAGATAGTCAGCTAACAACGCAATCTTTGGGAAAATAAGGACACATGACAGGATAAGCTCGTCCTTGAGATGGCAGCTGAGTCTGGGTCATCATGACAGGACCTAAGAAGGCGTCTGCCAGGAACAATATCTCAAATAGGAAAAGAGTTTGAGTGATGTATCCTTGGACCAGTCATGAAGAAATCCAGACAGATTTCCTATATGTCAGATAATAACATGGTGAGTTATCTCCAGAAAACTTGCACATCAACTCAATGTCAAAATTTGCAATTATAAGTTACCACACAGATGAAATAAAATAAAGCAAAACAAGGATGTACTGCAATGCTATACAAAATTCTACAAAAAATAATTTTCTCCCTTTATTTAACACTTTTTTCCTTTGTCCCAATTCTGAGAAATAGAAGTATCAGAAGAACGTTAAAAAAAAAGAACAGATGCTCCTTTCCTACCCATCACATTGAAACCTGGTGAGGACTGGGATACAAGAAAGACTAGAATGGAATGGAATTTAGATGACCAACTAAATAGTTATTAGTTAACTAAATGGTTATTAGTTGAACAACTATGAGTCAAGACAAAAAAATACTACAGGCGATTGTGCGGAATAGGTAGCCCATCAAGACTACTATCAAAATCTCAACAGAAATGCCACAGTGAGGAGAGAATGGAATGGTATTTTCAAAAAACTCAAGAGAGATCTTTCCAGCCAATAGTATTGTATTCCAAAAATCTGTTTCAGATATGAGAAAAGAAATGAAGTCTCCAAGACAAAAGTTCAACATTTTCCCTACAAGAAATGTTGGAAGTCCTATCTAAATAAAAGAGGATTAACAAAACTTGGAATAGGTAGGTAAGAGTGAAAGCAAAGTATGTGGCAGAGCATATATGCATATAAAATTCTCACACACACACTCACAGATCATAGTCAGCTCACATGGACTGAACTCACCAATCAAAAGGCAAAAAGTGCTTGTGTAGACCAAAAAAAATCAAAACACAACCATTTACTTCTTTCAAGAGAGTCACTTAAGTTATAAAGAAGAAAGACATAAAGGGCAGGGGTAGAAAGTGGGTCTTTCAAGACCATGTAAAATTCAAAAAGGCAAGGACACATTATATTTAGATAAAATAGACATCAATCCAAATAAGGTAACAAGAAGATAAGTATGGATATTATATAATGATAAAGGGACCAATGGAGTAGGAATGCATAACACTAACAAATATGCACCCATTAGAAGAACACCAGGATCCATAAAGTGACCCAAGTTACATAATTAACATGAAGAGAAACATTGACAGCAGTAAAATAAAAGTAGGGGACTTTAGCATTCCTCATATAGCAATGGGCATAAAAAGAACTCAACATGGGAAAAAAATGACCTTAAGCTTAGATGAGATGGATTTAATAGCTATTGACAGAGCATTAATGTTCAAAACAAAACAATAACTGTATGAGTATTATGGAACATTCTCAAGAGTAGACCATATGTCTGCATATAAAACAAGTTTCAATAAATACAGAATATAGAAATCATACCAGTTCCAGATTACAATTGTATGCTTCTACAAAAAAAGAGAGCTAAATGTCAGTAGAAGAAATAAAAATTAGAGCAGAAATAAATGAGAGAAAAATTAAAGGAGACTTCAAAAGATCAATGAAAACTAAAGCTGGCTCCTTGAAAAGAAACACAAGAAGCAAAATTTTAACAAGAATCATTGTTAAAAAAGATAGAACTCGAAATCAGAAAATAAAGGAAAATGACAACAGATACTACAGAAATGCAACTATATGCAAAAGTACTATGAAAACCTATATAGCATTAACTGGACAACGTAGAAGTAGAAAACTTAGGAACTAAGAAATTCCAAGACTGGTGAAAAAAGAAAATCTAAACAAACTGATCATGAGTAAGGAAATTAAAACAGTAAGCAAATCCTCCCAAACAAGTCCAGTACCAGATGGTTTTCAACTAGTGAATTCATCAAAACCTTTACTGTAAAATTAAAATCTATCTTTCTCAACTTTTCCAAAAAATTGCAAAGAAGGGAAAACTTCCAAACCCATTTTATGAAGCCAAAATTGCCGTGATTACTGAACCAAACAAGAATTCCACACTCAGAAAACTTTAGACAAATATCTCTGATGAACACAAAGACCAAAGTATAATAAAACACTAGCAAGTTATTCACCA